GCACTTTTCACCAAACATGGTGTGCACCCTATTGCCGACTTTAATCCCGCTGATCCCAAACACCTTGGCGATCCACAGTTTAAGGACCTCCCCATTACCGAGCGTACCGCCAAAGCCCAAGAATTTTTTTCAGCTCACATGATCAAAGCCGTCAATGGTATTCGCTTCCCTGTGAAATATGCTATTGCCCGATTTTTCGCCTCCCAACAATGGATCTCACCAGAGACACTCGCCCAAATCCTTCCTTCGCGCCCCAGCCATTCTACAAATCACACTGCTCTCTTAGTGACAGACCTTTTCTATCCAACAACATCTCCCAGTTCCGCAGAAGCCATGCAAACTGACGACATCCCAGCCGAACCCATTACCTCCAGCACCCCAACCTCAGATAATCAATGATGACCGACCTTACAATTACAATATGGAATGCCAATGGCATTAAAAAACAATTGATTAACTCTATTTTAGATCATACACCCGACTCCACTCTTTTATTTATTACCGAAACCTGGCTACTCACCCCACAATCCTTTCCTACCAACTGGCGACAATTTCACATCTATGGTCAAGCCCACCCACGCACCTATGTTGGCAGCATGGGTATCTCACTTCTCATCAACCCTTCCTCTCCTTTCAAAGACTCTATCGAATTTATGCCCCACGATCCTTCCTCACCATATTACAATTATGTGTTATCCTGCCGCCTCGGTACCATCCTTATCCATTGCCTATATCTCCCCCCCTCTATCGATGATCCTTTTGCTCTTGAAATACTCCAATCCCTCACTACCGAATCCGACACTACCACCACCACCATATTCTGCGGTGACTTTAACGCCCGTCTTGGCCCTCTCCTAGGTGATCATCGCACTACCAGTCGTGGCACATTATTTAATAATGAATGGCTGATCCCACATGGCCTTACCCTATGGAACACTACCCTTGCCTTCGGCCAACCCACTTACTACCGACTTGACGGAACCAGTATCATTGATTGGTTTATCAGCACTACTCCTCTCCTTAATCCCTCTATGCAAATTCGCGATGACCTCTCTCTAGGCTCCGATCATAAGCTTGTCCACCTCACCTTTCAATATGCCAACCAACCCTCTCCTCCTCCTTCCGGCCATCCACGTATCCTGTGGCGCCTTGGTAAATTATCTAATGACTCCGTATGCGAACAATATACCACTGACTTCCAAGCTTCTACCCGACCCCTCCATTCCCTCTTACAACAACACCTCGACTCATCTACAGTAGCATCCAAAATGTAGGATTTATGATATGGTTTCTTACTTTGCTTTGTAGGAGAAGATCCGTCAACATTACAGATACTTGGGCGAACAGGAACAGCTCTTTTGGAATTTAGATGCCGAATTCAACGAAAGCACAAACCCGAAAGTTGCTAAAGCCTTGATTGACTTTATCAATCAGCTTCCGGACGAGATCTGAAAGCCTTCCTGGACGCCACGCGTGGTACGCCACAAGGTGCGCAAGCATCACAATCATTTGCGTACCGATTATCAAGAAAAGAAGAAAGATGCAGCGGGCTGGAAGCTGATGCAGAAGCTGAAAAGCCGCCGCAACAATGTGAGTAATTATACTGACATTTATTATTTAACTGACACTAACCTATATGAACGTTTTAGAAATTCCATGAGCGCCATGCAGCATTCTATGTGGCTGGTGCAGAGTTGTCCACATACTTCGCTGGTGCAGAGATGTTGTTGGCGCCTGGGTTGATGTCTGACGAGGAAGACATTATCCAGGACAACTGCGTCATTGCCAGACAGGTGCTCCGCCCTACTTGGAGGAGCGACAAAGTAAGTGCTTTGATTTGAATCAGCATACTCAAAGTGATAAACTTACACGGTCATTTGTCGTTCCTATAGTCCAATGCGTTCCTCGACGAGCTGTCAGCGCTTGCTCAAAAAAGCAAGACAAGCAAGCGCCTCGGCCGAGCACCCCTGCCAAAGGAGTATGTGGATGCCGAAGTGTCTCCAAAACCTGCACTTTGAGCAAGACTTCCACAAGAAGCAAAAAAACAATAAAAAAAGTTTAATGCATACCACGTTATCCTACAGTGACTCAAAGGACAAATATTATTATAGGACACATATACTATATATAGTAATTTATTTTCAAACTCAGATTAAATTTTAGATATTTAATTAATTTTTAATCTTTTAATAATGGGTGTTATTTCATCAATTACTATTTCATTTTCAAAAGTTTTATCTATTATTTTTCTTTTTTTTTCTTTCTTTTTATCTTTATTATATGTTTTAAATTCATAAACTTTTTTTAATTGTTTTTTTGAACCATTTTTTTTCATATAAATTTTATAACACCCCTCTTTTTATTTTATTTTATATTCATATAAATCATATTTTTTCATATCTTTAATAAATATACTTCTTTTAATATTATATTTATATTTGTCATCTATAATCATATCATATATATCATCCATCTTTTTTTTTAATTATTAGATTTTTCAATTTTTTTTTATTTTTTTAATTTTATAATAATTATATTTAATCACATTCATAATATAATATCCAACTTTCTTAGGTATATTATATAATCATTATGTATTAAATAAGTTAGTTTATTGACATAACTAGGTCTTATTATTTAAGATAATGAATATTAAAAATACATTTCATATTTATAGTATTATTTAATATATATTGTGTCATCTTTTTAATAATATCAAAATTCAATTTTTATCTTTTTATATAAATTAATCTTTTAAAAATTTTTTCCAAATATTATATTCTTTATTTTTTTTTCTCCATTGAAATTCACCTAAATGTAATAATATATATTTTTTATTTCTATTTTTTAATGGAATACTTTGTTTTAAATGATTCCATAAACTTTCAATTGAATTAGTATATATTCCAGTTATTGGATCTTTAAAATTTTTTTTATGATTTACAGTTAAATGTTTATATCCTATATTATTTAAGTTATTATATCCTTTCCAACAATCAGTATAAATAGTAGTACCTTTTTTAACATATTTCTTTATAATTTTATCAATATTATTTATATTTCTTTTTTGAATTGGTAATAAAAATGTTTTTTGATTTTGATGTTTAATTTTATTTTTTAATATACTTCTTTCAATACCACCAATAACCCATGCACCTTCAACTTTATGACCTCTATTATATTTATTTTTTCCAATTTTAGTTTCATCAATTTCAATTATTTTATTTCTTCCTCCAATTTTTATATTTTTATTAAAATTAATTTTATTTTTTAAATATATTCTAAAAATTTTATGATATAAACTTACAGTATTTGAATTTATTTGTAAAGTAGCCGCAATACTACAGTGACTCAGGAAATTGATCCAATGTTTGCCGATTTTTTACTTTATTGCAATTATCTTCACAACCACCATATCTATCCACCCCAAATAAAAAATATGTTGTAGCTATAACTCCTAGCTTTAAAATAAAAAAAAGATGAGGATTCTAGCATAAGTAGATGATGAGTAATCAAGGTTTCCACACGACCGCTCATTGGATCAATTTTCTGAGTTGCACTTACTTATTGAATCAATAATCAATCTGTCCACCTTTGGCCTTGATGACCGCCTCCAAACGTCGAGGCATGGTGGCAATATACTTCTGGCATGCCTCCTTTGTCACCTTGTTGTACCAGATATAATGGACCCGCCTCCATAGCTCTTCCATTGATATGGGTGCTTCATCATAATCAGCAAGCTGACACTTCAGATAATACCACATATTTTCAATTGGATTCAGATCAGGAGAGTAAGGGGGCCACTGGAGTACTTCAATACCCTTGGATTCAAACTATGCTTTTGCTTTTTTGGATGTGTGCTTAGGGTCATTGTCTTGTTGAAAAATGATATCGTCAATCTGCATACCATATTCTCGAAGGCTACCAAGCATATCATCCTCCAAAATATCACAGTATAAAGCTGCATCTAATCCTCCTTCAATTTTGGTAATCAAACCAGGGCCATTGGCAGTAATGCAACTCCAAAGAAAGAGACTGCCGCCTCCATGCTTGGTAACATGATTGACGTTGTGATCTCTAAGTGGTTGCCCCTTCTGTGTCCATGTCCACTGCTTACCATCTGATCCCAAGCGATTGATTTTTGTTTCATCAGAAAATACCACTCTGTTCCAGTCTTCAACAGTCCAAGAATGGTATCTTTTTGCAAAGGCAAGGCGAGCTTTCTTCCTGGAGGGGGTCAAGGGCAAGGCGTCAGGTTTATGCATGGACTTATAGTTGTTGGCCTGCAAAAAGTCCCGAATCGTCTGGGGAGCAATAGGCGTGGTGGAGGAGAGTTGTCTGCTGGCGTCCACAGCCGTTTTATACTCCCCAGTGTTGAAGCGTCGAAGGATCAGGCGTCCCAATTGTGTGGTAATCAGCGATGATCGTCCAGCGGAATTAGTGGCAGGAATGCCTAATTGCTTGCGAATTCGTCTGACTGTAGAAACACTGACGTTGAAACGTGAAGCAATAACTCTGTGAGAAACGTTCTCGCGAAGTTGTTGTTCAATGTTGTTGATTTTATCTTGTGAAATCGGATGCATCTACAGATGATCATGTTAATTAGGTCAATTAGGAATCGGATGAAGGAATTGAGCGAAATGGATGCGGATTTCACCTTGAATCGGAATAAATAACTGAAAGAAGTGAGAAGGAGAAAAAATTCGGCGATTCTATTTACTTATTGTGACTGTCCGCAAGAAAAGTAGGCAACTCAGGAAATTGATCCAATGAGTACTTGTGCGGAAAAAACGATTACTCATCATCTACTTATGCTAGAGACTTCATCTTTTTTTTGTTTTAAAGCTATGAATTAGGGCTACAACATATTTTTTAACGGAAACAATACGTATGATAGTTGTGGAGATAATTGCAATAAAGTAAAAAATCGGCGAACATTGGATCAATTTCCTGAGTCACTGTAGTTGCTGGCATTTTTAAAAGATAATAATTTAATATATATAATTGAATATTTAATGGTAATTTCATTTTAGAAAATATTGTACCTGTTAAAGGTGAAAATGATTTTCTACATTTATAATTTTTACAAATATATAATTTTTTATTTATATATAATTTTGTATCTTTATCACAAACTTTACATTTTTCTATTTTATTAATATAGTTATTATTAATTAAATAACATAAATCTTTGTCTTCATTATTAAAAATATCTTTTAAATTTATATAAGGTTCTGTAAACATATTTGCAGTAATTTTTATTATTAGCAAAAATTCAATTTTTAGTTTTTTTTAATTTTTTCAATAATTGAGTTTAAAATTATATCGGAGTTTAAATCATAGAATCTGTGTGTTATCTTAATAATTGTCCGACTCAAAAAAACGGCGCACAATATGCAATTTTTTGCCGTTTATACATTTTTCTCGAGATCTGTTGATGAGAAAAATCTGAAATTTAGCCTGAATAAACTTTGGATAGTTTTTTAAATACATGCCAAATTTCATGCAAATCCAACTATTGGTTCCTGAGTTACATGCGCTTGAAGTCAGCCGGTCGGTGCGCCGTTTTTTTGACTTTGCCAAAAAATCGCCGAAACAATTAGCGACCACAAAACGTATTAAATAGTAGCTCAACATCTGATGATGGGAACGATGTCAAACTTTAATAGAATATACTAGAGGTAGTTGTGAATAACTACGAAAAAAAATGATGTTATTTCATTGGAAAATGACTGAGATATAGGCAAAACAAAACGATCGGTCAATTTCCGGACGATAAAAAGATACCGTTTTGCTGTACCTCTTGTATTGTTTTCTCGACAACTGCTGATTCAATTTACTCCAAATTTTTTTTGCATGCTTGTAGTTGTGATGGTAACATTCATGTAAAGTTTCAGATTTTTAGGTGCAGTAGATCATTAGAAAGCAATCATAGGAGAAAAATTACATATGAATTTTTCACCTTTGTAAGGTGAGTACTGATTATTTTTTCCCACCAGTGTCACTTTATTCATGCACTCCGACTTTAGTACAAAAAAAGGGCGTTGTTAGGCGACCTTTTATCCTTTCTACTGCATCCTGATTTTGCAATTACCCTCATCTGCGCTCTAATTAGCACTCATCACGATTTTGAATTGAATTACCAACATGACAGCAATCTCTTCTACCACCCGCCAGAATATTCAGGCTCGTTTGAACTCTGGGGAGTCTATTCGGTCTATTTCAAGACAACTTGGGATCTCTCGACGCTCAATTGGTCGCATTGCTAAGCAATTTTGCATCAGCACTGATGCTCCACATGGGCGGCCATCGGTAATTACCACTAATCTCGGCCGCATCATACTGCGCAAGTTCAGTTCTGGTGAATACAGTACCGCTGCTCATGCTTCTAGGGAGCTACAGGCGGATGGTTATCATATATCTGCTGAAACCATCCGTAACCATCTTAAAAACTCTGGTTATCAGTCCCCAAAAAACCTGACACACTTCCTCTGACAGTTAATCGTAAGAAAACTCGTCTTGCCTTCGCCAAAAAGTATCAGCACTGGACGGTAGATGATTGGAAACGAGTGATCTTCAGCGACGAAACCAAGGTGAACCGATTGGGATCTGATGGAAAGGAATGGACCTGGTATAAGGATGGAGAACCTTTGCGCGATCATAATATCAATCATGTATACAAGCATGGTGGTGGTAATATTATGCTTTGGAGCTGTATCACTGCTGAGGGCCCTGGCTACATTACAAAAATTGATGGTGGCATGGATTCTACAATTTATTGTCGAATCCTAGAGGAAGATTTGGGCAAGACATTATCACATTATGGCTTGACTCTTCAGGACATTATATTCCAACATGATAATGATCCTAAACACTCCTCAAAATTAACCAGACAGTGGCTGCAGGAACATGATGTTGATGTGCTAGAATGGCCTCCTTATTCACCTGACCTCAATCCTATTGAAAACTTGTGGTATTATTTGAAAGCTCAGCTTTGTACATATGATACAGCCCCTAC